GTGTACGTAGTAGTGTGTGTGTGTGTGTGTGTGTGTGTGTGTGTGTGTGTACAGTAGTATAACGTATGTGTGTGTGTACAGTATGTGTGTCTGTGTATGTACAGTAGTTAATAATGTGTGTGTGTGTACATTACAATAGTATGTGTGTGTGTGCGCGCGCACGTGTGTGTACAGTAGTATGTGTGTGTGTGTCAGTATGTACAGTCACTGGTGTATGTGTGTGTGTGGTGGAGATTGTGTGGGGGGTGGATTCATACATTGGGAAACTCAAGGCTATATTCAAGGAGAATGGGACAAAAGACTAGGTCTAGGAAATCCAGCTGCTAAGTCAACAGGTACTACAGGGCAGTTGTCTTCTTGCTTGACCAAGATCATAAAGGTGTGTAATTATATCAGAAACAATGTGCTGCAAGAAAAATCTGCAGTAAAGGTTTACATATTGGCCAGGCGACATTCTTCTCAGGAGATAGAATAGGGGAGCTGAGGTTGTCCCAAGTGTACAGAGCATGGGGTTTTGACCAGCTTATTCCCCTTACTGAATTTTGACGAGCTTCTTCCCCTTCAACCGGTTACTAGTACGCATACTAGTACAAAGCCTTAGTAAGGTATATGAATGGGGTATGAATCTTATAATACAATATGTAGTTATGTTTGAGTTCTTTTTGAAGTCGGTGGAAGACAAGTCATATGTTTTTCGACTGGGTTCTGCAATTTTCTTTTTTTTTAGAAAATGTGGATGGAATTTGGTGGCTGAAGTTCAATAATGAGCTTAACTTTCTTTTTTTTTTGGCAATTAGCAACTGGACAGAAGAAGCTGAGTTATAATTAGCTAGCGTGCACACACCGAAGGGCGGTTATCCCGCTGCTATACCGATACCATATTTGACAAGCAGAACTAGCTAGGGTAGTTGGAATCCGCTACCCGGTCAGATTCGCATGATTCAACAGAACTAGTACCAACAAAGTCTTTCACACTAACCTGGTATCCAGGTGGCTGGGCGGGTTTTCTTCAGGGATGCTGAAGCTCGATTGTGGAGGGGCGAATCAACTCCTGGTGTGTGGCATATCATTCAAATATACCGGGTGGTCTGTTGAGCTGGACAGGGGGAAAACTATTAGAGCCCCGAAGACAGCCTGCCCCAAGCACGATAGATTGGATAAACTGAAGTTACTTTCAAACTGATATTGTTACTAGAGATATGGTAATGAATGCATGTATGATTTAGGATATGTAGCATGTAACTTGTTACAATTGTAATTAGTGTCATCATCTGGATAACTGATCTTTCTTTTGTGGTATTGATATTAATGTTAACTAACAACATCCGACATTATCTTTGCTAACAGGTCAATATATTGCCACTCTCACATTCTAATCTAAACCATCAAATTATGCCAAACCTGATATAATTTTGTACGGCAATTATAAATAACGTCAAACTCGAAATCAGCTCAACAAAATAACTTTTAATCTCCAAGTGGAAAACAAAATAATCTTTAACCTGCAAGTAGATTCTGTGGGGAAAATGAGGCAACACTAGTATTGGATGCCTACATAATATTTATTCATTGGTCTCCTGTGTCTTAGTTTAAACCATCGCATAATGGGCCAGCCAAGCAGGAGGTCAATGGATAATCTCCAAATATTAAATTGGCCAGTCTGTAACCATTTACCAGACTGGCCAATTTGATACTGTCTAGCCCCCTCCCCAAACATACTGCTTGGAGATTAGTCAGTGGATATAGCCCGACAATATATGGAATATTGACTCGCTTTTACCCCACAGAATCTGCTTAGAAATAAAAGAATATTGAGATGTTCAAAACTACGGCGATATATACAGTGAAAACAGGCAAGAAACACCTACCTATATAACATGCCTTATCAAAGTTGGACGTGATTTGTTGGCGAAAAGACGCGGGATCGGGTCAAACAAACATCCATCCACAAAGTCGAAAGGCAATCTGCCCGTCGTTGTTTCGCATCAGTCGATGGTCTCATGAAAGTACATGTACTTTAACTAAGCTATAATAATACCCCGTTAACAGTATTAAAAACATCTCGTGGCAGCAGCCTTGGTGTTTATTTTCATCCTGAATACTAGTAAAAACTGTCCGAGTCAGATCAAAAATGGCGGCCATTATGAGAGGTCATCTACCGGGTGACCTCGCCAAGAAAATACTCCTGATTACCCATATAACTGCGTGTGCAACACTGTCCGGCCGTTAACTTCCTTAGTAAGGAACTGAGTTACTAATAACGGTCACATCCTAGGATGTGAAGATAGCCTCTTGGCTTATTAGTTACTATATAACGGTGGTCACCATTAGTTACTAGTTACTATAAACGGTATGTGTATGGGGTCGAGTGGAGCTATGTTGAAACGGACGGTGATGCATTTCTCTCGACTTTTCGCAGCAGGATTCGGCGGTCGCGTCCATGCTAGCCAATATGGAGCGTCACTAGGATTGCCGCACTTTTAGACGCCGGTCCCAAGACAATGAAGACCCTTAAAAAACTGTCAGGGTCAATCGTCATGGTACCTCCGCAGTCTACTCAATATTCTACATGCACCACCGGCATCCATCTC